ATTAAAAATTTAGACCACAGAGAGTCGAAAATATGACTTTTTAATGACCCAAACTCCTTATGAATTTAGAGATCATAATCCACTTTGGCATCCAGAAACAAGTTTACACCTGTTTCAGCTTCAAAGAATATTTTTCCATACAAGCAGCTACAGCAGAAGAGCAAATTTTGTTACAAGCCCCATTCAGAAGCCAGAAGATTATACTTCAAAATCATATTCCAAATAGTGGTCTGGTGAACAGCAGCATCAGCACCAATCTGAGAGCTTGTCAAAAAAATGCCAAATTTCACCCCAGACCTACTATTGTTGAGAGTTTGTGGTATTGCTTGGGAATATTAAATTCTGTTTATAAAGGTCAAGAAAATAAATGGATTGGATGAAACTCTTAAGTTATCATCACTTAGTAAGCTAACACTCAGTGACTTAGTTAAACACAGTAATGAGAGCTTGTAAGGCCAAGAGAAAAGTCCCAAGATATGTTAAAATTAGGTAAGCCAGTAACCTGTAAGGTACCCCAAAACAGAAAGAGATGGCAAGACCAAGCCATTACCATACCACCTCTGGACTGACAGCGATGCCATCCATGGCAGCCTTCCAGCGAGGACACTCAGTATGAGGCTACTCTGGAGCCTCAGGGGCTCTCGCCAGGAAACGCAAACAGCCGCAGGCTCGTCAGCAGGCGAACTGGTAAGCCTACACCTGTATACAGGTGTCCCTGTCCCCACTGCCTTCGGCTCGGCAAGTGTGTATCCCAGGAAGTAAGATGCCAGGGCATCACGAGCCTGTGCAGTGTTCTTCCTCAACTCGCGCCCTCCTGAGCACGCACACCATCAGTGGGAAAGGCTGATGTGAGAGACACACAGGACACACGCATTTTGTGCACCCAGGACTCAGGTACAAAAAAGTGAAAGGACTCGGGTCCTTCCTTTCAATCTGCTTTGTACCTTAAGCTCGTTAACTTACCGCCCCTCTCCTCACCACCCCCCCCCACCCCACGGTTTTCCTCTTGCTTCTGGCTGTGTGTTTTAAACTGATTTGATAAATCGTATGATTCAGGCATTTTAATTTGATGGCTGAGCCTGTCTATTCCATACCTCTGGGATAGCTGGTAGTGTACTCGGAGGCTAACTACTGCATCAAGGTAATTTCCTACAAAACATCACTAAAAAGAGAGAAGCATTTCCAAAGGTCCCTGAGAGATTGATAGTGCAAATTCAAGTTTAGAGGCACTGAGTGGGGCTGTTAGAGAAAACTGCACAGAGACAGAAATTTGGGTGTCAGAACGATGCTCAGAACACCATCCTGAATAAAAGGCCTCAGGTATCCCCCGACAATAACTCATAGCCCCAAAATAGAGAAAGAAAGCTAAGAAATCCATTTTCAACAACTATCATGTAAGGCTTAGAGCAACATTGCAGCCATTGGTGACTTGTTCAACTCCAGCTTTGTAAAACTCCACGCAACTTGAGAAAACACACAGAAAATTACAGAATAATTTATCTCAACACTAATCGAGCACTTTTATCTCACTGGGAATTACAAAAATACACTTTTTCTATGTTTCAAGAACACCAATCTGAAGGACCTAAGCCTACCAGAAACAGAGAAAGGGTCATGATTTTCTTAACAAGATTACAGTGATGATCTCAGGTTATCCAAGAACAGAGTTGAGCAGAATGACCTAAGAAGTGACCTTAATGAGCTGTATACTTCCCACTGGCCACCGGTTCCTGACTTCATCAGCAATGGTAATTTTATGTATTTATTATATTTCACTGTCCCTGACACATAGTAAGGACTCAATAAATGTTCTGAAATAATTTTTAAAAATTTAAATGTCATCCTTTCTTTGATTTATCTAAGACAAATTTAATTCAATTCCTTGATTCTGAGAAATTCCTGAGGATGAAGGTATAATTCCATATCTCAAATCAACATATCTTCATTACACTCCCTCATTCCATACTCCAAAGTTGGATTTTATATTTTCTATTATTAATTTCCTTCTAATTTTCCATGACACAATGAAGCACATTAATCTCTCCATTAAGAAACAATCTGACCACTTCTAAAAGTCATCAACAATTATATATAAAGGATGTACATACACAGGAAAGATCAGCTATTATTTTGACATTTTTCTAGGTCCAGATTAAGACATCTTAGGGAAATATCAATTTAAAACATCTATAGAAGAACTAAAATAGAAACTGGACACTGTCACACACATAAAGGTCATAAACAAGTTCTAAAACAAGTGGCCAAAAGTGTTGAGAATGTTTAGTGAAGAATAAGATGAGAGTATTGGGAAAAGAATGTAAAAGTTCTAAAGATCATTTCTGTAAGGAATATGCTTGTTATTACTTCTGAAACAGGGAATGTGTTTATGTTTCAGAGGAAAAGATTTATGTTGGAAAGCATATAACTTCCCATTCCAATAAAGAAATATTTATAAAAAGAATAAGGAAACACCCATAGAGAATGGCTGAGTGAATTCCCTTCTAAATGACCTATCGAAGACTGTTCACGCCACACATTCAGGATAGCCAAGAACAGTTAAAGTACTCAAAGGACATTAGACACTTGAGCACAGGTTTTTACACTGTGTTTCACGGGTTTTAAATGCCATGTGTTTAAGAAGTGACTCCACAAGCTCACAGAGAAAGAGGTAACCTTATAGATTTTTATGTCCTCTGCGGCTAACAGCATGAGAGGAGACATCTGACAAGCCTTCAATAAACATTATTACCATTCTCTGAGGCAAAAATCTTAATTGGAGAATAATCTAAACACTACCACCATCACCACCACCAGTGTAAAAGTAGCTCTCAAGATTTCCAAGTGAATCCACTTACATGTTAAACAATGGGAACAAGAAAAGAGTAATTGTCTCATTCATTACAAAGGGCTAAGAATGGATCTTCTGTTTGCAGACTTAATCCACTCCAACTAGCACAGTAACTGCCCACTAAAACGCAGCAAGTTATCTTTCACAAATCTGATGTTTGATCCATATTCTTAATGGAAAGCATTAAACCTATGTACTCTATTCCATTCCTTGTTATGTGAAATACAGTCTTTAATGTGAAAATTAAGAGGCAAAATGCTTATTGTTATAAGCACTGGTAGAAAAAAAATGACTTCAACTTCAAAACATCAAAAAAAAAAAAAAAAAAACCTCAAAACATCATACCCTAAACCCTGGTTTGTTCACATATGAACATCCAAGTTTCAATGACAAATCCCTTAAAATCCATTAAACCAGTAACTGCAGCTGTGTTTTGTGCAGCACTGGACCCAAATACAAGGCTGGTGCTCCATTAGGGTTGATAAATTTTAATAAGCTGCTATTCCCCATTAGGGAGTTGGTCACTGGTTTTAACAAACTCCTTGAAGAGTTCATTTCAGTTATTCCTGCCTTGCTGGATGTGTAACAATTTAATCTTGTTGCTTTCTTCCTAAGGGGTAGAAAGATGATGCTCACATGAGAGCACTTGCAAAGGGGACTTGAATGATGAAATTTAGGAGCTGGCTGGACGGGCCTGAGGAAAAGGCACCTCTAAAGAGAGTGTCTACAATTTGGGGGTAGGGGAGAGAACGACAAACGGAGGTGGGAAAGAGCAGCAAAAAAATTTAGCCTCCTTAGAAACTAGATTCATAGCTCCAGAAGTTATTTCAAACATAGTTTAACTTGACAAGACCCATTCTGACCCAAAACCTTGCTTTACACTACTGAAAGGCAAGTTTGCCTGTTAACACCAGTAAATAATTTCATAGATTATTAGCTTATTTCAAGAAAGAATTTCACAGTTACAGAAAGGTCATATTTATCTTTGCTATGTAAATAACATATCTTACAGCCTTCTATGAAAGTTTTAAAAGATGGAAAAAACAATAGACAGTGGCTTTAGACTTTGAGGAGAAAATTTAAGAAAATAACATATCTAATTCCAAATGTATCATCTACACACACTGTGTGAGCTAAGAGTCCCTAGAAAGTGGTTGCAAACTACATACTCTGCCACCACAGCCCTCCAGATTCCCCTAAGAGGGCATGCCAGCACCTTGGGACTCAGCTGATGGGCAAGGACACTTTGAAAAAGCACTCCAGGAGATGCTGATACTCAACCAAACACCTTCTGCCCCTCTGCCATTATCAGCTAATAATGTTTCACCACCTGCTGCGGATGTATTTTTGTGTTATTCTTCTATTCCAAATGTTAACTAAGTGAAGTCATTAGAATAGAACATCTGAATTCAACTGGCATTTATCCAGTTTTTAAGAGGTAAAAATAAATCCATGAATGGCAAATCAATTTAACATCCTTTCAAACAATTCCATTTTAAAGCCACATAACAAATTCTGAACTCAAAGCTATTTAGAGTCATAGCTTTTCAATTTAAGTAGTTAAGTCCGCTAACATATTTCCACGAATCAAACATTCACTACCAAAGAGCAGTACAAAAAAAAAAAAAAAGTTCCAGCATTCCTCACAATCCACTTACACTTAAGTAAGGGATAACTCAGATTTTTTAAGCAAGTAAATAAAGAATATTATTTCAAGGTTATCATAACTCTCCCTTTGTACATGATACCTCAAATCCTACAGGGTTTACATTTAGATGATTTTATTATTTATGGATAATTTCAAGTAAAACTAGTTAAAGAAGTAATTCTCCTTCCAACTAACACTCCTGGTTTTCAGGGTTCATATTATTCATACTCCAGTCCACTGGTATGTATCTCACAATCTCCAAACTTCTTCAACTTTAATATTGCTGTTTACACAACTGGTTTACACAACTACAAAGCACATCAAAAAATAGCTCTCAAAACTCCAAACTCTTAAAATCACCAGACAACATGTGTGTATCAACAACCTGGTAGTTTTTACAGCTATCAGTCCTAGTCTACATACAGTTAGGCCCAAATACTAAGAAAAAAACTTAGAGGGGGAAAAAAATAAAACTCCAAAAACAAACTAAGAAAATATACTTACCTTAATCGGAGCACTACTAAACTTAATTTTCCTATTTGCCGGGATGTCGTCTTCTTCTGGCAATCCAACGATCTCGGAGTACTCCAAATCAGGCTGACAGTAATTGTTTTCATCACTATCTTCCTGCTCCTCCTGTTCAGTGCCTGTCTCTCCCCAGTCTGAATTATACCTGGATCTCACCCTATAGACATTATAGTCACTGTGCATGTAAACATGGGAGCTCCCGAAATGATGCGGCTCTTCAAATACGTCCTTTTCACAAGTGAACCTAGATACATCAGCAGGGGCGAAATCACCACCTGCAAGTTCTCTCTTCTGTTGCATTGCTGCCTCACTCCCAACCAAACGAGCTTCTGCGTCTTCTGAAGGTTCGTTCTGTGGTGAGGGGATTTCAAGCTCTGGCACTGCCTTGCTTTCGGCACCAGCTTCTTCAGGGATGTCTCTGTCAGTTCTGTCGGGAGCCTCGTGGCTAGATGTGGGTGCCTCGGCTGCCTTGCTCTGCTGTGCCTCTTCGCTAGGCACAGGAGCTAGAGAGGTACTTTTCGAAGCCACCTCTAGTCCTGGGCTCGTGGTACTCTTGGGAGCATCCTCTGCATCGTCACTGTGCTTGCTTGGAGGAGACCAAGAATTAGAATCTTTAAGGTGTCCAAAGGTGTCAAGATTTGTCACGGTAACAGATGGTAAATTCAGGGGATAATGCCCAGTCACCGAGTACTCGTTGTTCTCAGCCTTCTCGGCAATGATGGCACTGGGGGAATCGGTGTTCTCAAACACTGCACTCAGTTGACTCACAGTTGGGGAGACAGCCTCCGTCCGGGAGCTGAGACTGTCCAAGGAATCAGTACTGCCTCGGTTGGACTTGGAACCACCCCACTCCTCCTGAGGCTCACTCCCTCCAGCTTTCTCCTTCTTTGGGGAACAGCGGTTGTTCTGTCCTGACCCATGCACACTCCTCTCAAACATCTTGCGAGTTTCTGAGAACTTAGAATATGAAGGGCCATCGTACATTGTGTCAAATCTACTAATTCGTTCTGAAACAGAGGACTCCAGCTTAACAACCGAGCCATCTGTTTTTTCCAGAAACTCTTTGGGCTTCATTCGCCTCTGAGGGGACGAAGGTCCACCTTTGCCCCTTGTTTTGGCAATGACCGCGGCATTTTCACTGGGTTCCATGCCCATCTGCATAAATAGGTTTTTAATTCTGTTGACATTGGAGCCATATTTCCTCCCCCTGCTCTGCTGGGAGCCCTCACCTTCTTTTGTTTTTTGTTCCCCATCTGACTTGGGTTTGTCAAAGGTACTTTTCAATGCCTGGAACTCAGTTCTATATGCATTCCTGTGAGGAGAGGCACTTCTGAGCGTGGTACGTTCACCCGAAGACTCAGTTTTCAACATTTTTACTTCAGGGGTGAAAAGCCAATGTTCATAATGATCAGGAAAAAAAACCAAAAAAACAAAACACCTCTCTTCTCTAATCACCAGTATCTGGTCAAGAAAAAGTGCCTCTCAAATGGCATACTGGGTCAGTGATCCTCCCAACAGGTGTATTAGGAAATTATTCAGTCAAGAGTTACACAAAATGGCTTTTTCAAAGCAAGACTACAGGTTCATCTGTAACAGAAAAGAGTGAATTTCTGAATTCATTTACTAATTTGAATTTATATGCTTAGTCAACTATTAATACATTTTTCAAAGTGGCTTAGCCACATGTCAACTAAGAAATTACTTTTTGAACTGGAAACTTCAAAGCCAAGAATTTAAAAGTTATAACTCTGATCAATCTTGGGTAACAAAACTGTTTCAAACAAAACTTGAGAAGCCCCACACACACCAAAATCACACACACACATACATACACACACACACACACACACGTGACACCTAAGTACACTTGAAAGCAATACTTTAGCCCAAGTTTTGGTTGGTTTTGTGAATGACCTTAAAAGAAACCAGCAGTCCCCAGATCTTTAAGAAATCATCAAACTATCCAGAAAAATGAAATTCACTTGAGATTCCCCACATCAGGTAGAACTTATTCTTTCTGTACAAGCATAATTAAAAGTTCAGAATCTATGTTTACAAACTCCAAAACATGCCTACAGTGGCTTATTCCATTCTTTCTGGACCGATATTCTCATCTATGGCATCCCCAAAGCAACCCTAGTGCAATTTCAGACCAAAACAAGCATAATAATGTTCTTAAATGGCAGTAAGTTTCACTTCAAGTTCAGAACCATATCAAATATTTGGAAGTTTCCTAAGAGTGAACATCATTAATTATAGAGTGGGATATACAATATCATGGGAATCAATGTATGAGAACGTGACGATCAGAAGGTAAACAGACCATGAAACCTCTTTTCACAGCCCTGATTTGTTTATTACACTTGCCTCTAACTTACTACAAGCTCAGAATACAACGCAAGGCATGCTGGCCGGTTTCCGCTAGCCCACAGCTGGATTTTACATCAATATGCCAGCAAGCAAATACTTCAAGATCCGCTGTGGAGCAGGCACTGTAGTTCTAAAGATTTTTCATTTTGTTTTTGCTTTGTTTTGTTTTGTTTAATATTAGGCCGAGCCCTATCACCTGCCCGCACCATCAGATGAGGAAGCACACACTTTCATTGAAACCGTCTCCAACCAAACTCGGCTCCTGGCCCAGCACGCATGCATGGCCCATGCAGACAAACAAGAAAGGCTTCAGAGTGTGGTGCCTGTTTTTCTGGCAGGCATCGACAATCTCCTTCCACCCTGACATTTGTTTAAGCCTTCACACCCTTCCCCCGACCCCCACCCTCACACCCCACTCCCGCCCCCGCCAATTCCAAACCCCGAAGAGGCGGAGGCGGGGGCGACGGGCCGCCGGGGGATTCAAAACCTGCCCTCACAAAAGACAAACATAAATAACACCAACTTGAGAGGCAGCCGATTCCCAAGCCTGGTTCGGGACGCAATCCCTCGGCCCCCGGGCAGGGGCAGGGCCGGGAGAGCAGGTGACGCCAAGCGCTATGGCAGGAGGTCGCGGACTAGCTTTGTGCCAAGAAGCACCTGAAGTCCTAACACATTGGCTGCGGCTCCCGGCGGCTGCCAGGCGGATGCCGGCGTGGCTCGGGGAAAGCCGAGCTCCGCAGCCACATTAAAATTTAAAAAAAAGAAGGAAAAAATTACAGGGTAATGCTAATAAATCCCTTTGTTTTTCGTCCCAGAGTGCCAGGAGACAATAGATCCCACTGATAATGCCTCTGATCCTCAACCGCAACCCACCCCCACCCTCAGCCTGCAACTCAAGCCTTTGTACATCCCGATTTTTCCCTCCTCATCTCCACCCTCCCCAACTCCTCGCCCCGCGCACAGCCTCCCCCTTACCCGAGCCGGAGCCGCCGCGGGCGGGGAGGGTCAGGCGGCCGTGGCTCCCACCCCCTCCTCCGAGGCGCCCCCCGCCCCGCGGTGGCCGCAACTCGGCTCGCCGCCGGCCCGCTCACGTGCGGCCGCCCGCGCCGGGCCGTTGGGCCGGCCGCGGAGCCGTGGTGGAATGGGGGAGAGGCCGCGGGGGTGAGGAAGGCCCGGGGTAACAGGTGCCTCACCTCGGCTGATGGGATTAACTCTAGGGCCGCAGAGAGAGGGAGCCCGGCAGCAAAATCCCAGGAGAGGGAGAGAGGGAGCCTCTGGCGGCCAACGGAGGGCGAAAACCACCGGCCCGAGGCGAGGCCGCCCCACCCCCCGGCCCCGCGCCGTGGGCGAAGAGCCCCTCGGGCTTGGGCCGAGGCCTGCCGTTCGGCCCGGTCTCGGTGCCGCGAGGGCTGGGTTCTTGGGGCCCCGTCCCACAGAGTCTGCAGTTAACTCCCTGACCCCGGGGCGTCTAAAACCCTGGGCCACGCTCACGGCCTGCAAGGCCAATCCCTAGGCCCAGCAGGATGGCCGCCACTTAGGCCGCTGAGCTTCACCTCACACCCACCTTGGCCTTAGGCGCCACGGCTAAAAAGAGAGAGAGGAGGAACTCTTCTGGCTTTCTTGTCGGGAGTTTTTCAGACTCCCCCGCCCAACCCACCACCCGTTTTATAAATGCTCAGTACCCCCTCCTTTCCCCATCAAAAATACAGGACGTGTTACAGCCTATCTGCAAAACGTAAAATCTATCATAACTGTCAATAAAGACCTTTAAACCAATCCTCAAAAAAAAAAAAAAAACCTATGGAGTAGAAAATTTTAAGGATAATTTTTCAAGAAGGTAAAAATATACTCTTAATAGAAATGTAAAATGAAGATGTGTCAAAAATGTTACTTGACTCATCAATTAGGGAGGGAACACCAAGATATAACCCATCCAGATGACAAGTGAAGAACAAAACTTTATGGAAAATCAGCAAAGAGGCAAAACTGGTTAATAAGGCACTAAAATGTAATGTTCTGAATTATCTCCCATACAGGGTAGTAATCAACTGTATCTCTTAAGAAACAAAATGATTTTGCATTTCTACAGATAAGAACCATTTACAGTATCCTTAAGTTTCTAGGGCTTATAGAATGGTAGAAAATCTAGTCAAAGGCAGGCAAAGGTGCAAAGTACTATAGAACCGTGAAGAATCCCAGGGGTCCCCAGCCTCCCTCTGGGATCTAATTAATGTCTGATGATCTGAGGTGGAGCTGAAGTAATAATAATAGAAATAAAGTGCACAATAACCATAATACATTTAAGTCGTCCTGAAACCATCCTCCTCAATCCAGTCCCTGGAAATACTGTCTTCCACTAAACAGGTACCTGGTTCCAAAGAGACTGGCGACCACAGCTGTAATAACATCCAGCATTCCATTGAAAGGACCCTCAATAATCTTGTTGTCCATTTCAAAGCCTTACATGAGTTTTCCAAGGAAACTATTATCACCTGCATTTTTACAGATGGGAAAACAGGTTTCGGTTTTGTAACTTACCTTCGGCTTTCTCACTAGGGCTTCCCAGGTGGTACAGAGGTAGAGAATCTGCCTGCAATGCAGGAGAACAGGGTTCAATCCCTGAGTCAGGAAGATCCCCTGGAGAAGGAAATGGCACCCCACTCCAGTATTCTTGCCTGGAAAATTCCATGGGCAGAGGAGCCTGACAGGCTACAGTCCATGGGGCTGCATAGAGTCAGACACAACTGAATGAGCACACACAGCTTTATCACTAGAAAGTGATTATAGCTACATATGAACTCTGGCCAGTCTGTACACAGAATCTATATACTCTTGAAGCAAAGTCTTTTCTCACCTACTTTCAAAAGAGCTTTGTCGCTACTCAATTCTATGTATCTCTCATTTTGAACAGATGAGTTTTTTTCTTTTCTTCAAGCCTCACCAAATTCTGGGTGCTTTCCCAAGGAATTGGCATTCTCTGTCTACGACGTGGATGTCACTTCTATAAGCATAAACAGATGTAACAGGCAATGTGAGGGGGCTGTGGTTCCAGTCTCCACTTTTGGAAAGAACATTTGTGCTGTCTGGGGTAAATGAGTGGAAAAGTTCCTGTCATTTATTTGCAGTATGGAAACCATGTTTTTTAGGAGAATAACTTAAATAAATGCAGGAACCTAATCACTGAGTTCTATCTGCAGATGAGGGGGCAGAGTTGGCAACAAAACCAGTCTTACACCTCTTTACAAAAAGATGATTCATGCAGAAAAGCAGCCTAAAGAATTCGGTTGGTTTGGGTTTCATTTTATTTTTTTTTAATATGAACCTTCTGGAAAAATTCATAGTGAAGGGATGAATGACAGAGTTTTTAAAACATAATTTTAGATTCCTGGCTTGCCCATTATCCACCTTCCATTTCTAACACTTATCTGAATGTTTGAAGGGACTACTAGACCACTACTAACTAATCCAATGCATGTGGTTATATAACTTAAATCATATACAATTTAAAATTAAGTTCTGGGCTTCCCTGGAGGCTCAGTGGTAAAGAATCTGCCTGCTGACATAGGAGACACAGTTCAATCCCTGATCTGGGAAGATCCCACATGCCTTTAGGCAGCTAAAGCCATGCGCCACTACTGAGCCTGTGTTCCAAAGCCCAGGGGCCGCCACCACTGAAGCCTGCCAGCCCTGAACCCTGTGCTCCACGGCAAGAGAAGTCACTGCAATGAGAAACTCTTGCTATAGAGAGTAGCCCCCCTCTCCACAACTAAAGAAAAGCCCAGGCAGCAACAAAGACCCGGTAAAGCCAAAAATAAATAAAAATTAACATTAAAAAAATAAGTAATAAAATTAAGTTCCTTAGTCCCACTAGCTACATTTGAAAGACTCAGTAACTACATGTGGCTGGTGGCTACCCTATTGAACAGCTTAAATACAGGACATTTTCATCACAGAAATTTTTATTGAATGGTTCTGTCATAGACAACATTTGCACTTCTGTAAATTAGGAAAGGTATTTTGACTTTATAAGGGTCAAAACTTAGTTCAATAGATCATTAATGTATAGGGAATAAGAAGTCATAAATTTTGCATGTTCTAATTGGAAAGGGGCTGGGGCAGTGTTGTTGTTTAGTAGCTAAATCCAATCTGACTTTTTCTCGACCCCACGGACTGTAGCCCACCAGGCTCCTTTGTCCATGGGATTTCCCAAACAAGAATACCGGAGTGGGTTGCCACTTCCTTCTCCAGGGGATCTTCCTGACCCAGGGCTCAAACTTGCATCTCCTGTGTCTCCTGCATTATAGGCAGATTCCTTACCACTGAACCACCAGGGAATCCCTGGTCAGTGTTAGGTGAAGTTTAATACTGACATACAAGACATCCAAAATGCAATATATTTGGGGAAGATGGGAATTTTGATTTTCATATGTAATTTGTTTACAAATCATGTAGAATATTATGGACTGTTATTCTCATTTCCTTTGTAACCAATAATAATGTGATTAATAAGAAAGGACCATAAGATTAGTATAATAAAAGGTACAAAATGCATTCTACCTTGTTTTAGGGGTTTTATCAATGTATTTTTCAGTTTTCATAATGGATATTCTGAGTATCTATTCAAATAATTATTCATATGTGAAAGTGGATTATTGGGTGTAATTGTGAAATTAAGCCTAAATCGAGTCTGAAACAGCTCATCACTCCTTGATTCATAGCATGAAGGCACCTGGTGGATGGCGTGTTACCAGAAATTCATAAAGGGAGAGAAAAGAATAGAACAAACATGGAGGTCTCTAGAATAATTTTTATTTACTTATTTATTATTTTTTAACTGTGCTGGGTCTTCGTTGCTGCATGAGGGCTTTTTCTAGTTGCAGCAAGCGAGGGCTACTCTTCGCTGCAGCACCTGGAGTTCTCATTGTAGTGGCTTCATTTATTTCAGAGCTCAGGCTGTAGGTATACAGCCTTCATTAGCTTCAGCCTGCAGGCCCAGCAGTTGCACCGTGCAGGCTCTAGGGCATGCAAGCTTCAGTAGTTTTGGCACAGGGCCTTAGTTGCTCAGAGGCATGTAGAAGCTTCCTGATCAGGGATCAAACCTGTGTTCCTTGCATTGGCAAGCAGATTCTTATCCACCGTGCCACCAGGGAAATCCTAGAACGATTTTTTTACGAAATAGGAAAAGTAAGGGAAGAGCAATTCCGACCCTATCCAGGGTATCTTCCCAACCTGGGGATCAATCCCAAGCCAGGTCTCCTGCTTTGGCAGGTGGGTTCTTTACCATTAGTGCCCACTGGGAAGCCCTGGTTTTACCCGTAACTCTAGCATAAAAGGATATTTTACTCATATTGTTGTTTCTATACCAGTATTAATAAGAAAAGTATGTTGCCCGTAATGAGTCACTTGTTTACAAAATTTAGTTATGACTGCTTATTTCACGTTTGTAAAGGTCCATCTAGTCAAGGCTATGGTTTTTCCAGTGGTCAAGTATGGATGGGAGACTTGGACTATAAAGAAAACTGAGCACAGAATTGATGCTTTTGAGCTATGGTGTTGGAGAAGACTCTTGAGAGTCCCTTGGACTGCAAGGAGATCCAACCAGTCTATCCTAAAGGAGATCAGTCCTGGGTGTTCATTGGAAGGACTGATGTTGAAGCTGAAACTCCAATACTTTGGCCACGTGATGGGAAGAGCTGACTCATTGGAAAAGACCCTGATGCTGGGAGGGATTGGGGGCAGGAGGAGAAGGGAATGACAGAGGATGAGATGGTTGGATGGCATCACCGACTCAATGGATATGGGTTTGGGTGGACTCCGGCAGTTGGTGATGGACAGGGAGGCCTGGTGTGCTTCAGTTCATGGGGTCGCAAAGAGTCGGACACGACTAAGCGACTGAACTAAACTGAACTGAAATATCAGAGTGCTTTGTCGTCTTCAGATGCAAATGTTGATATTCTTGTATCTTAGAGGTCCATCTTTTAAAATAACCATCCCTGTTTAAGGGTAAAAACTGTTATTTTTTAGTCTTACAATATTTCACACATACTTCATTGTAGTAATAAAATATATTTCTCTAAAATCATGATAGAATCCCCAGGCTTACATTCAGAATACGTCAGAGATACCTGTAATCTCTGATTCTGTCAAGCTAGTTATAAAATTAAGCTTAAATCCATAAATGGATTTTGTAATCTATAAGGTATTGTTTCTGCCTAAATAAATTGATAATGATTCAGCATGAATTTCTACCTACAGTCATGGTTTGGGCATGCCATTGAAAACCATACCATCATTTTGGTTCATTTTTCATTCTACAATACATCCA